GGTAAAAAGACAGGATGTTTTCCGACGAAATGCTATTGATTTTAGGAGGACTATAATGAGGAGGACGGCAGATAACTCACGATCGACTAAAAGGAAAGTCGCCCGGAGATATTGGTTCAAATCCAATTCGTGAGATAGCAAAGCGATAAAAGGAAAGCAACTCTTTTCTTAACCAGCTACTTGACTCATTCAATAGCTGGAGTACGGAAAAGCTTAAAAAGGTCATTCAGGCGCTGTTCTCAAGTATAGTTGACTCATCCGACTAAGAATCCGAGTCCGACCCCGATTTTTCCTTAAACCAACCCCAGACGCCCAATGGGAAATGTACTCAATAGATGCTCTCTGAGTGACTAAGGAAGTCAGGGATGAGCAAGACAGACTTTTTCAAAATATGATATGAGGTAAAATACCAGTGAGCGCCGCAGCAGCCCGGACATAGACCGAATTCGGGTCCTCAACTCTTGAGTATATTGACCACGGAACGGAAACGATGTTATAAAAAGACTTTTTACTATCTTACGAGTGAGGTACTTGCAAACTATACTTGATAGATCCTTATCCAGTTCAACTTTCAAGAACTTAAGGAGATCTTCGAGAATAAAGGAATAAACATAATTTATTTTGTTATCTTTATTTGAGATGAGGTTCGTTCTCTCTGCCATGGTTTCATCCAACAAAAAGTAACTCATGATCTGATAGGCACTTGCTGATGCGTCTTGGACAATAGGCGTGGTTTTAAGAATATTTTTATTTGAGAAGAATCCTAATAGATTCCCGAGGAACTAAAAGGGGCGGGCGTTTAGCGGACCGAGCCTTCGCGATAAGTTTCGCATAGTTCTCACTACTGTGCTTTTATTTTATAAAGTTATTAGAAAACCATTTCATTGCATCTTTGAAACTCTCGAATGACTGGTAATGGAAGCTTGTAGCACATAGAAAATGGCTTTTCATAGAATCTGTAATCTTCTTAGTTGATTAAAAATAATCAGCAAAGACGATCAGGCTTCTTGCTAGATCACCCTCGTGTAAATGCAAGATCCCACTGCGGTAGATTCTACCTCGGAAGTCGAGAAAGGCAGGCAAAATTGATATCCATCATAGGCTGATGCCACATTAATAATCAATTGCTCATAACGAGCACGCTGTATGTTCTTATATAATGTATTTAACAAACTTTTCGCTAAAACTATATTTTTCGTTAATATCTACATCTTTCAAGTGTAACACTCTAAGTAAGCTTAATACCCCTTTTTGATTCATTTAGGCTATAAATTATGGCATGAGTAAAACATTTTCAACAAATAAGTTCTCATTATTTTTGAAGATATTTCAACCAATCACTGTTGATTTTAAAGGCCTGACCCTGCAGCTTGTTCATTACATTACACAGATCATACTCATTTGGTGGAAGAAAAATATTGAAGTGATTAAAGTTTACGCTACTTAACAGGCGATAACGATCATACATATCTAATGTTGGACAACTTAAGTAACCCCCTCTAAGATCGGACATCTGGCTAGCATTTTAACCATCATTGCGGGCATTCCGCCACTCTATAGGTGGGTATACCATAGGCAAGTTTAACTTGATAGGTAGTAATGAGATGTCAAAATAGCACACAGCGTACAGAGCGCTTGGATGAAAATAAGATCCTTTATTTTTCTTCACTTTAGTTGAATTGCTCAAATAACTTATAAAAGTCATCAATCCCCTTTCCTCCATGAAACTAACAAAGCTGGAACCGATGGGATTTCGTAGGATTTTCCTCAAAAGGTGCCTCACCGAGTATAAATAGAAATGGATGAAACAACTCTAGCATATAAACTAGAGAACGACAGATGTATTCACTCTGTGTTTTTTCGATCTTGTACCTTATAGTAATAGTACACTGCACACCAACCCAATCTCAGACGGATAATAAACTCCTATACCAGTGATACATTGACTATAACTCTAAAGGGTACCACAATGTGAGATGTACTAAGGCGGAAAGCAACCTCGCTTATAGCGTTCGTGACCAATCCCCATTGGTCACTTCACTCGTCTAGAAGACAGATAAGAGTTAGAGCTTTAGTAGTATACCAGGGACATTGTACTTTTTATTTCCGTGACTGAGACACTGACTAAGAAGACATGGACTTGATTATACTCTAACGGCTCACACATAGTATAGGGTACTTTTATACGTTACCACCAGTTGCCACATTTGCTTATGAAACAAGAGCAGCTTATCCCGAGGAGAACTGAGCATAAGTCTGATTTCTTAGGGTAGTCACTCAAAAGTTATATCGAGGCAGAATAAAAAGAGCTAAGTTATTCTCTCTAGCTTGGGAATATGTCTTAACCAGGGAAGTGAACAGCTTCACATCTTACTGGGTGTGTGCCCGGCTAAAGGAAGATCATCTTTCTTCATTGCTAGGATCAACGGCAAAGATCCCCCAAAAATCTGATTGAGGGCTCGAGCCTCGGGGTCTTGGAACTGATTGAAAAAGGGAACTTTGTTACAACTTCACCTACCACCAAAGCAATCTTTTATTTACTATTTCTTGGTAAAAGCTAGTCTGCCCAAGACATGAGCTAGCTGATGCTGGTCTGTGGCAATTTCATCCTCGGTTAGTAAAACTCGTTACTAAAGCCTTGTCTGTCTTAAGACCCCATTCCTCAACAATTGGGACAGAGCTCTCTAACTTACTTACCTTATTTCCGAGTAGTTCCTAGGGGGTCAAGACCTTAATGGACCACCAACCAAATCCTACATGAAAAACTTGGTTTATTTCGAGAACGTGATCTAGCTTGTTTTCCTGCCAAGAGGCCTGCTTGGTTCCTGGTTTCCCGTTCTCTTTGTCTAAGGCTAAGAAAGAATTCTATGGTCATTTTCTCCGGAGCTCTAGTTACTATCATACCATCGAAATAGACGAGAGTTTTGGTATATCTTCAATCAAGTATAAATGTTTTCTATAAAGTCAAAGAAAGAAGTATCCCTCCCCGAAGGTAAAAATCATGCTTTTAAAATGCAAGGGAAATAGTTAGTATCCGGGCTTGCACCCCCTATAATTCTTTATCTAACTCGGTACCTTGCTTGACTTGAGGGCACGGCACTGACTTGCTAGTAAAAGTCTTCATAATCAATCACTATTCTAAATGTCTCCTTATGGTTGAGTGAGGTGGGAGTCCCTCTTTATAACCCAATAACATAACCCTCTCCCCAAGGGTTAGGCCTATTCGAAAGAATAACTTATTTCACTGGTATGGAAGAGTAGGAGGGGTAGGCCATGGGCTTTGCTTAACTAATTTTTTTTCGTTTCTTTCCCTTTCCCCTGTAGTGAAGCAGGAACTCAGAGTAACATTGCTATCTAATCGATTTTCGAAAGAGCAAACTTCATTCATTGAACGCAAGTAAGCGATAGGCGATGTGGCATACCTTTTGGCACTACCTCCTGCGCTCTCCTGAGTTCACAAAGTATTCCACGTATCCATGCTGAGGAAATACGTACCGTCGCCAGAGCATATCTGGTTGATAGAGGATATGGTTGTAGATAATAAATTAACTTATGAAGAACGCCCGGAGAAGATTGTTGACAGAAAGGATCAGGTACTAAGGACGCGCACAATTCCATACGTCGTGTAGGAATCATTCCGAGCGCGAAGCTACATGGGAACTTGAGGAGAAGATGCGGGAGGAGCACCCTCACCTTTTCGACACGCCAGGTAAGAGTTTTGTCATCAAAACTAACACTTAATGATTTGAATCGATGTGGATATAGTCTCGCACCTTTCTATTGGTTTTCCAAGTATCTATCCCTCGGTATGGTCGTTCCCTTGGACCCTAACCTAACATAAAAGGTCGTGTGCCATCCCGCTTCTGCCAGAATCGAAGCCAATACCCTGAAGAGGTATAGAGGTCAACGATGGAAGGTACCTAGGAAGCAGACGAGTACGGTTCATACGGTTATGCCGCATCTCCATCTCTAGGAGAAGCAGCTAGATCGATTCCTAAACCGCTAATGCCCCCTCTTCCAACTGAAACTCATTCAACAGGAGCAATTGCAGCTTCTTCTATTCTCTGTTTTCCTACCCGTTAGGAGCTCATAACTCGTTGCCTTGAGGATGTCACTAGTGCTTCGCACCTTGCTTTCGCCTGCTCTTCTAACTTTGCTTGGATTGCACCTTGAGCTGAGCCGGGTGCAGATATGCCGACAACCTTGACAATTCTTATTTTTGCTCCTATTGTGAAGAGCTTTTTCAACCGGGAACCGAACTACTTTTAGAGTGGGGTTACGCCCTTTCCTACAGGGAACCCGGCAGTTCTGACCTTCTTTACCACCTTATTACAACTCTTGGTTTTTATTGATTAGCAAGCAGGAAAACTGTACCAAGAATCTTACACGAATCAAAAAACTGATTGAAAAGATCTTGAAATAGTTTCACTTTGAACAAGACCAGTTAAGAAGCATATCCTATTTCCAGTTGCGTGTCCATGCGAACCAGTTGGGCTCAAGCGAGCCATAACAGAGGAACCTGTGTTGAAACTGCCGGATCAACACTCCCTTCTCTCTATCTACTTTCTCAAGCGGCTTAGTTGCATCCTTTCTAAGACAACAACCTTCGGTCTATAATACTGATGAGACCAGAGCTGAAAGTAAACCCGGGTATGAATTGAAGGCATCTTAGCTTGAGAGGAACCAGCGGGTTTATCTGTCTAAGCCAGCTTAAGCCCCTGTCTCTGTCTCTTACACCAAAAGTAAGTGACTTATTTAAAAGTCCCGTAACAGCAATCGCTTTTTAAAGGATGGATCTTAGGCTAACAAGGAAAGCCAGGGGAAAGATTCTTGGGACTTCAGCTGTTAAAGCCAGTTTAGTTATAGTGGCAATTGCCAGCCTTACATTTTTTGTAGTGCTCCCCCGAATCATAAGTGAGAAAGGAAAGCTAACAGCCGGTGAAAGTGCTTTGTTCTCGTATGAGAAAGCAAGTTCAAGTCAGCATGCTTTGAGAAACTAGATATTTCGTTTTCTTTATTTAGCATCTTTTTTGCTATTGCTAAGTCCTTCCATGTGGGTTTTTTTCCCTTTTCGCTAGCCGTGAAAACAAAACCTGTAGGAATACCTGTTCTTTCAACAAGCCTTAAAAGCTGTCTCCTTTAGTAGTTCCTCACCTTCCTAAGGATAAAGAGCGAAATTATAATACTTTTTTTATTCATTCTTTTTTTGGTACTGATTCGGTGCGGGAATAGCCCTCCTTCTATCTGCGAAAAAACCTACTTTATCTAATACGCTTTTCTCTATTCGGGCAAGTAACAGGAGTCAAGCTCGCAAACCAGACTTCCAAGAGTAGAGGATAGGTCCATTTGATGGAGTACCCTAAAAGGGGTGCCCTCCCTGAGTCTTCCTAAGTCCTAGTTTCAGCTTGATAGACTAACTAATTACTTAATAGAATTGCCGGATCAACCATCAATTGTTTCTTATGATTCTAGGGGTTTAGGATAGGAAGAGGGCTAAGTTCAATTCAAAGATGCTAAAAAAGGGCATTCATTATAATGGCTTTCAATGCGCATTGAGCGAGCTGCTAGTTCAGGTCTTTGTTGTTTGTTGTATTAGATCTCTCGTTCCCAGTAAGAGATGAGCTTTCTTTTCAGGATGACGTAGTTGCTGATTTTCTCAATGATATTGTTTTCTTAATATTAGGAATTTCCTGTTTTCTTAATTAGATATGATAATTTTATGTTTTTTTGTAACTTTCTTGCTTTCTTTTCTTATTGTAAGAGTTTTTAACATTTTCAGTATTTAATCTTTTGGAATTTTTTTATTTTAATTTATGTTTTTCATTTTTTGTATTATTTATCTGCTATTGTTATTGTATGTATGAGTTTAAGTTGAAGTTTGGTTAAAATTGCAGACTGTTCATGTTTTACCCTTGTGGCGCTTGCCACAAGGCCGTGGCACTCGCCACGGTATCCAAACTACGTGCCCCCGCCACGGTTTGTGTGGCCCTTGCCACGTTCTTCATATAACAAAAACAAAAGAGTTTTTCTAAAACACTCCTCATTTCCCCATCTTCGTTCATTCGACCCAACCCTTTTCTACTTCCACTTAGCTCTCATTATCACCAGCTCATGTTTCACTTTCCAAATTCATTTTACCCTTTCAATTCCTCGAATCACAACACATATCATACTTCTTCGCTCCTGTTGACCGAAACAAACTAAACCCTATTGTATCAATCATGTCTTATCGCCCCCAATAATCAAACAGAATGGTAAGACCATCACCAGATAAATCAACAACCATCTTCTGCCATAAGGATTTTTGTTCACAAAGCGAGAAGTACCTTATGTTCTACCAACATTATGTCATCCCTACAAGGTACGTTGATGAGTCATGTTTGCATGAAATAAGACTCTTAGACAATGTTCAATGGATGTTGACTAATTCGAGTCTAACTCATATCTGCTCGTTGAACTATCCAACTTAAGAACCCTTGACTATAGAGTTCTAGAGTTTGTTTATTTACAACACCCCTATGGATGAACCATATCTCACTGAACCCTTTAGGTTTAGGCTGTTCAACAAGGAATACTAATTAAGCCAAGATACAATTGGGGATATGTTACATTTTCCGCGTGGGGAGAATGTAGCTTGTGGGGTTCCTTTTGAGGCTGATTGGTAAACCATAACGTTTGATATTTAGAAAAGTTAACAGGTGAAACAAATCTAAACTGGGATGGCCTTAATGCCTCCCTAATCCATAACACAACCATCTGCTACTTTCACCGCATTCTGGAAAGCCTAATTTTCGGTAGGATTAACAACCACAAGGTAAATTCTAAAGAGTTGTTCTTTGTGCATTGCATCTTTACACCGACCATAATCAATGCCACTCCCTTTTTCCTAGCTGACATTCATTAAATTTGTGCAAGACGAACCAATCATTTATGTATAGGGGGGGTAGTCACATCCATTGTCGTTGCCTTAGGCCTAGGAGACAAACTCAGAAATTTGCCATCAATACCAGCCTTGTACCTTAACATCGACAACTGTCAATGTCCTCACTTGATTAAAGCTCGAGAGGATGAAAAATATTATTTGATGGTCAGAAATAGCGCGATTAAGAGTGTCGTCTTACCCTTTCGCAATAGAACTAATGCATAAAATATGGATAATTGGTTTTATGATCTATCTTCCCAAGAGCCCAATGCACATGCACAAGGTGCACAAGACGGCCTAACAGACGATTTGTTCAATGAGATGGAGCAGGGTGCCCCTGAAGTTCAGCCGCAACCCACATAGGTTCCTTCTGAACGCGTCGCTGGAACATCATCAAGACGCCGAAGAAGACATGAGGACACTTCTGGCCCATCTGATGACATTCTTGCTGAAATGAGGCGGCATACTGATATGGTGCTTAACGTGATTAAAGAATTCATGATATTCATACTCAGTAGGCGGAGATGATATACCTTGAAGGATGAGAAAACACTTAGAAGGGGGGGGGTTGAATAAGTTTTTCCTTTTTCCGTGTAATACTAATGGAAGGACACGGGTATTTTTATCCTGGTTCATTTTAAACTCAAACTACTCTTGTCCACTCACCAAGGTGATTTCGCCTCTCTCAACGAGGACTTAATCCACTATAATCAAACTTATTACAAATGCACAACCAAACTGTTGTGACTAACAATATAATGCACAAGCCAACATCAAGTGACTAACACCTCTAAGACTCAACTAGTCCTATCCCTCTTGAGAAATCTGACCCAACTGGTCTCTCAAGGAACACTTACAAAAATTATCTGTTAACAATAGTGAATCATAATGCTTCTAATAAGTTGTATCACAAACTGTGATTTATGACTAAGATTATTGCCCAATACTTAAGATTTACTCACTATACAATATTAGTTTACAAGAATGAAAACAATGAGCGTTAGTATGTTTCTCGTGGATCAATAACCTTTCTTTGAAACAAATGATCTTCTATATATAGCTTCCAGTCTTGACCATTACTGCCTTGAAGAGAGTGTATGCATTAATGATGTGTGTCGGCTTGGTCTTTATGTTTCCAATGTTCTCGTGCATAGTACCACTTGAGTGCTTTATCCTTCTTAGCATTAAATTACCAACGGTACTATCAGAGCTTGTCTCTGGAATTTTAAGAGTTTGCTTGCAGCATTGCCACTTCAGAGTTTACTTTAACTTTTCTTCTATCAGAGTAGTCTTCATTTTATGTTCATCAGAGTTTTCTTCAGCTTGCATTATCATATGTTGCTTTCAGCGTGCTTTTTTCAAATCTTTGCTTCAGCTAGATTTATCAGAGGTTGCATAGAATTTCTTTTCATCAGAGTTTTCCTTGGAGTGCTTCCTTTAGAGTTTGTTTTAGACTTGCGTAGAATGATGTTTCTTTCTTGAGATGCATGAGACAAACCATCATCTGAATCTAGAGAACATACACATCAGAGTATAAAATATATTTCAAAAAATTTATTTCATTGTTATCATCAAAAATATAAGATATGATTAGAAACAAACTTTGTTCTAACACACCTCACCCAACAGATTAATCAGAATCGATGTGACTACAATGACAGGAATGAACAAAGAATGCCAGGCATGATCGACCAGATGATAACTTTAAAAGTGCATGCAGACAACATACATGAGTATATTAATCACGTAGGTATTCCACCTCATCATCCTTGAAACGGTGGTCATGGACGAGCGCGTGGCAGAGGTTACCAGTAGCAGATACCAAAGTTTCTACCTTTCTTTTTCATCTTATTTCGAAACATTGGGGACATTGTTCAATTTAAGTGTGGGGGAGAAAGCTTTACTGCTTTTGTTTAATCAACATAATAAACTTGTCGTAGGGATGGTATTCCCCTTGTAATAGAGATGATATTCCACTACTAATGTATAATTTGTGTGTGATGAAAAAGAGGGACACATGATGGTGTGGTTTGCTGTATGGGACTATGAGATTTACTTAATTGATGGTTTCCAGTAACATTTTAACAAGAAACATTGCAGTGTATTTGTAATTTAAGATATAAAATGAAAGAAAAAGCTAAAATGTAAGAAATATAATTTGTCACAATCAGACAAATGATTTTGCCAATCAGGTCTCTTTTGATTTTAAGTGTTTGTTATATGATGCTATTTTTTTACTTATATTAATACAACTTGTATTACTTATACAAGTTGTCCCTTGGTGAAATAAAAATAAAAAACCGTAAAAAATGTCTAAGCCAAACCCGAACCCATAACAACGGGGTTCTAAAGAACCCTTATTATCGCCCGATTGTATCTACATTGTGTTATATATTATCTAAGACTTTATATATTATTTAATATCTATTATAATTTTTTAACTCTTTTTCCAGATTTTGAGGCCTCTAATTTTTTGAGGTCTTGGATTGTGAATCTGGTTACCCTGGCCCAAGGCCGACCATAGTTAGGAGTTTGATCCTCACTAGCCACACCCTTAAATTTTAAAAATTATAACTATCTACTACCTAACTAAGATTGAAAGATGCATAAGCACTTCATAATCTACTCTTTAATCAAACTAAGTGTTACACTACAAAATACCTATTTTGGTAATTGACTAAATAATATTGTACTTACCAATCAAATTAATCCATTCATCCAAGTGGCACAACCAAAGCTACCAACATCCCATTTTATTCAAAACTCAACTATGCAGGGTCCATTCCTGAACCTTGTGATTCCTTTCCGATCATAGTCTTTAATGTGGTTCAAATCACCAAATCTTTTTCAAGGTAAAAAATAAAAACCAATTCAAATCTTTTGCCTTCGGGTTGCCTCCGGCTTTTTTTTGAAGATCTTTTCCCAAAAAGGATGTGTTATTTTCGTTCTGCGTAAAACGACGCTTAAGTCTCTAAAGGCCGAGTTACAATATCTCAATTGATAGAACGTGAATGTAAAATTATCTGCCTAAAAAACACAAACAAACCAAAACACCTTTTTAGGTGAACTACGATTTCC